ATAAACAAGCTCACATTCAGGATTACAAAAGCTCCCGGAGCCGCAGCAATGCTGTAAGGCTGTGCTGACACATTAGTTTATCTTCTCAGAGTGAGTGGGCAGCGGGCTGTCTTCCGTAGCAGCTCCACTCTGCCATCCTCAGGCCTCAGAGCAGGGGCTGAACAAGCTGGGGAAGGAACAGGGATCAAGAAAGCACACTCCCACATGTGACTTTTCTAAAGGGTGTCGAGTGATGTTTCTGGAGGGTCAGCCAGGGTCTTTGCCTAGCAAAGGGGAGGGAACTGAAGAGGGGAGAGGAAGGGGGGAGAGGGAAGATGTGAAACAAAGGGACGTGAGGGGAGACCACACAAGAGGAAACGGAAGAAAACTTAGAAAGCAGAGGCCTTACAGGGAAAAGAAGTGAGTGCTGGAAAACCCCATAGAGAAAGAAGGAAAGTGGGAAGAAGGGTGAAAGGAAAACCACACACTGCCCCTACTCTTTTTGGTGGGTGTGGAAAAAGAACGTGCCCAGTGCAGCTTTTAAAACAACGGTGCTCCTGGAAGTGGTTCCCTGCTTGGTCCTGGTTATTGCCTCCAGTGCTCCTGGGGTTTGCCAGGCGGCAGGCTGCCACTCTGGCCAATCTAAACACTCCATGCTCTGGAGGTCAGAAGGGCTGGGAGTGGTGGCGAGAGAGGAGATGCTACCAAAGGGGCCATGCTCAGCTGTCCCCAGGGCCAGGGCTCCCAGGGAGCAGCACCACTGTACCAGGCAAACAAGCAATCGCAAGAACAAAGCGAGAACAGGCCTGGTGTGCTCTGTGGCCATGAGCAGCCTCGCTCATTGCAGTGAAGCGATGAATTGTACCACCTCCTCAACTGAGACTTTTAAAGCCTCTTTCTTTGTTTGAACACAAACCAGATTGTATTCACTTTTGACAGACAACTCTGGCATATTTGAGGTTAGACTGTTTATTAGTGGTAGAGATGGGGAGTGATGGCTACCCTGTTCCCAGCATGGCTGTTTTTCTTTTACTCCCATGGGACATCAACAGTCTTCTTAATTTTTATAGTGTGAAAAAGTTTTGTTTTTGTTTTTTTTTAATATTAAACTCATGTTATTGCCCCCCAAAAAAGTGTGACAACTTGGTTAGGCCATAATTCCCAGTACTGTGTGACTGGCCACCATTTTGTGATCTGATGTCATTTTCCTATGTGTTGTAAATCCTACCTCTATGATGAGGCAGGATTAGAGGCAGTTATGTTAATGAGGCAGGACTCAATCTACAAGATTAGGTTGTGTTTTGAGTCAATCTCTTTTGAGATATAAAAGAGAAGCAAGCAGAGAGACAGAGGGACCTGATCCACTAAGAAAGTAGTGCCTGGAGCACTGTGCGTCCTTTGGATCTGGGGTCCCTGCACAGAAAAGCTCCTAGATCAAGGGAAGACTGATGACAAGGACCTTCCCCCAGAGCCAACAGAGAGAGAAAAAGCCTTCTCCTGGAGCTGGAACCCTGAATTTGGACTTTAGCCTCCTAGACTGTGAGAGAATAAATATCTGTTTGTTAAAGCCATCCACTTCTGGTATTTCTGTTATAGCAGCACTAGATAACTAAGACAACTCATAATGTAGTACAACAGTTCATATACCTTTATTATATGTATGTGGAGATACAAACATCTTTTCTCTTTTTTTAAATGCTACAAAGAAACTCAGTTAACACATCAAACTTGATAAATAAGTTCCTAAGATAACAATGTGGGAAGAACTTTTTTTTTTGCCCACAGTTTAGAAGCATACATGCTTAAATTTTATACCTTTCATTCATTTACTGAAATAATAGTATTTATCCAGGACTTCTACATGCTGGGTACTGTGCTGCTGAGCAAAACAGACATGGGCTCTGTTGAGGAGCTCACAGTCTAGTGAGGAGAAAGACACTAATCAAGTAATCACAGCTAGAAACCATGAAAAGGGCTAAAAAGGAAAGGCACGGGGTGCACTGAGAGTGTATAACATGGGGTCTGGTCTAGATCACTTTTGAAATGAAATCAGAAGGATAAGTAGGAATTAACAGGGAGTTAGAGGGATGGAAGAGAGGTGCAAAGGCCTAGGGGCAGGAAGGTACAAGGGCTTTCAAGAAGACAAAAGGAGGCAATGTGGCTGCCGTGTGCAGAATAGGGTGTGAGCTGGTTGAAGAGACAAGTAGGGATCAATCATACAGAATACGGAAACCACTGAAGGACTGAGGGTTTGTCGGAAAGTCAGTGCAGGATGCTAGGTAGACGGATGACAGGGTCTGATTTGTTTTTAAAGATCACTCTGGACCCAGCAAGCCCACTCCTAGGTACATACCCAGAAGACTTGAAAGCAGAGAATCAAACAGGTATGTGTACACCAAAGTTCACTGCAGCACTATGCACAATAATCAAAAGGTGGAAACAACCCAAGTGTCCATCAACAGATGAATGAATCAATAAAATGTGGCATATCCACACAACGGAATACTACTCAGCCATAAAGAGAAATCAAGCCTTGATACATGCTGACATGGATGAACCCTGAAAACATTACGCTGAGTGAAACAAGTCAGACGCAAAAGGACAAATACTGTATGACCCCACTTATAGGAAGTATATAGAACAGAAAAATGCACAGAGACCAAAGTTTATTAGTGGTTACTAGGGGCTGGGGGGAGGAGGAATGGGAGTTATTACTGAGGGGTACGGAGTTTCTGCTTGGGGTGATGAAAAACTTTTGGAAATGGATAGTGGTGATGGTGGCACAACACGGTGAATGTAACTAACGTCACTGAACTGTACACTTAAAAGGGGTTAAAATGGTAAACTTTTTGTTAAACATATTTTACCACAATTAAAACAAGATCACTCTGGCCACCTTCCTGGAGAATGGATTGGGAGAAGGCAAGAGTAGGCGTGAAAACAATTGGGCAGTGAGTGTAAGACATCCGTAGAGTCTGGGGTCTGAGGTAGAGAAGTAAAAATTGCACTTAACATGTTCCACACATTGGCACCGTCAGTGGTTTCATTACAGGAATGGAAGGTATAGGTGTGTGTCCTGTGGGCTGCAGAAACTAAATGAAACGTTAGAAATGGGTTTTTGTTTTGTTTTGTATTAATGAAGGAACCCTCATTTTATTGACAGAATCTTAGAGTGGGAATTGGCCTTGGGTTCATCTTTTCAGATGCCTAAATTTGTTCTTCAGCATCTCTGCCCAGGGACAGGAGATCACAACCTTAGGAAGCCTCCCTCCTCTTGGTGCGAAGCCAAAGTCCCTCTTTCCCCAAAGATTTCACCTACTGCTTTGACTTACACCTCTTAAAGTCCGGGAGATAATTCTATTGTAGGACACCCTCCCTACTATCTTAGCCTCTGTTCTCTCGATTATGTCACGTGCTGGGATTTGTAAATTCCTTTGTTCCAGCTTGACCATTTGTTCCAGATTATGTACATCCTTTTTGACTGGGCAGAGTAGACTAAGAGTACCATCACCTGAATTCTGCAGCCTGTAATTCTATCACTGTCATCTGAGACCATATCAGCCCATCTAGGGGCCTCATCCGGACACTGGTGGTTCAGTGGTAAAATTCTCACCTTCCACGCAGGAGACCAGGGTTCAATTCCCGGCCAATGCACCTCATGCTCAGCCACCACCCCGTCTGTCAGTGGAGTCCTGAGTGTTGCTATGATACTGAACAGGTTTCAACGGAACTTCCAGACTAAGACAGACTAGAAAGAAAGGCCTGGAGATCTACTTCCAAAAATCAGTCAGTGGATCACAACGGTCCAATCCACAACCCATCAGGGGGATGGAGCGGGGGTAGGCAGCATTTCTTTTCATGGTGCATGGGGTTGCCATAGGGGGAAGCTAAGAACAACATGGGGCCATCATGTTATTGACTCACGGAGGCTTTTTCTACATTGTGTTCCTGCCAAGCTGTGTCTCCCTGCCCCACCTTCTCTGGTGCAGTGGATTTGAGAGAACCCAAGCACAGGATTTTACATTTTTCCCCATTCAACGTGTCCCTGTTGAAATCTTTTTGAATCCTCACCAGCATCATCAGTTAGTGAAATCTGAGACCAGTGTACGTGAAATCTGGCCTAATACCTCTTGGCACCTTGTCAACTAGGTTCTCAGACAAGGAGGTGGATGAGGGGGTGAGAGCAGGGGTGGGAGTGGGGAAAATCTCTCCTATTTTTCCAAACAATGGGTATGGGGGTGGGGGTTACCCAGACAATTAATTTACTTTCCATCTCCAATTGGTAAAATGTTTACCATTCCCCACTTGAAGAAGTACTTAGATTTTTCTTTGAAGTCTCTAGGAAACTCCCGCAAACCCAGCACACCACAGTACCAAATTAGTTGGCTGATTTAGTCGTTTAACCCACCTCCAGTCACAACCGCTTTTCCTAACTGCTCAAGCCACAAATTAGCTACGGAACATTCAAGCTCCGTCCCTGCCCAAGGCCAAGGAATGAAAGTGGAAACACATTTCTTTAAGCAGATATATCTGGTTCTGTATAGTTCTCCCTTGTTTCCGACCTCAACAAAACTAGAAAAATGCCTCTGGGAAATGTATCATTCATTCATCTATGTGTTCAACAAACATTTACTGAGTATGGGGCCCAGGCTACGGGAGAGCAAGGATACAGAATTCCTAGAGGGGGAAATGTGAGGAGGATTTTAAGTTCAGGTGAGAGATTAAAGAAAAATCTAGAATCCAGCCTCAGGTACAAACATTCAATATTTTAAAATAAGGACAGGAACTTCAGGCCATCCTCATCAAAGGCCGCCACAGGTGGGATTCCACAGGTGGGATTCCACAGGTGGGATCTGCCTCTTGGTTCTGTGGATACTAGTTTATGAAACAGTTTCAAGGGCCAATATTTAGAATAACAACACCATGTAATAAAAGTGAAAAAAAAAAAAAAGAGAGAGGAAGGGGAGAAATAAGGCAAGGGAATGGGGAGGGAGCCCAGGAGGAAAAAAACGAAGTCTAACCCTTGAGATCTTTTCTGCCAGAGAGGTTTGCTGCACTTGTTTCAACCTGGCACCCCTGGACCAGAACAAAAGCCGCTGGGGCCGCAGCGTGGAAAGAGGGAAGGAGCGTCTTGGGCGCGCGCGGGATGACTAGGGGCAGGGGCTGCAGGGGACGCGGGATGGGGGCAGAGGCGGTGACCAGCAGCCGCTCGCGGGTGGGAAAGCTCGCGCCGCGCCCACGGGCCCGGGCGCCGCCGCTGTCCCAGCCAGCGCCACCTCGCGCGGCCAGGGAGTGAGCACCCGGTCCGGCTCGTCCCGGGGTCCCCGTGGTTGGCCCGGAGGTTCGGCCCGACAGCTCCGCAGCAGCCGCAGGGCGTCCCGGGCAGCTGCCAGCCCGCGGTCCCCGCTCAAGGGGAGGGCGCGGTGTCACTTTACCTGCGCGCAGAGGGTCGTCTGGAGAAGCCATGGGGGCGGGGTGGAGCCGACGAGCGCCGAACGGGGCTGGGCGGCCTCGGGGACGCGGGAGGAGAGCGGCGCGCCCGGGATGGAAAGTCCTGCTTCCTCGACGCGCCCGAGAAAACCACCGCGGCTCTGCGCTCTCCTCCTGCTCCGGCTCCTGCTCCTGCTCCTCCTCCCTGCGTCTCCGCGGGCTCCTTCCTCGTTCTCACTTCCTGCTTTGGCAATTAGCAAAGCCCCTTTCCGCGCGTCCCCCCGTCCCTCCCCCAGAGGTGCGGGCGGGAGCCGGGTGCCGCGGACCCGGGCCGGGCGCGGGACTGGGGCCCAGTGCCCGGGGCGCCTGCAGCGTCCGGAGCGCGCGTCCTGCCCCAAGCCCAGGTTCCCCTCGGGCAGATCCCGCCGCTGGGCTCAGGCAGTTGCAGCCCAGGGCCGCCTGCGAGTGAGTTACTGGCCTCAAAACTCGACTGCAGCCGCCGAGTGGCTTACTGCTGGCGCCCTAATCACGCCCTCTCAGCCAAGGACACCAGAACTCCCGGTACACAGGCCTGGGCTGAGATGCCCGCCGGCAATCTGATATTTAAACGATTTCCTGATCTTTAGGCAGAGAGTATGCCGCTGCATGATGGCACATGCTAATAATTTCTATTTTGATTTTTCTTTGGCATTAGTTATTACATGACCTCCAGGGTAAGTGCTACACAAAGAGAGTGGAAAAAAAAGATGCCTGGTGCACGCTCAGACTCTCTAGAAAAATAGCTTTGGGTTCTCTCGGAAATGAGGAATTGGTCCTAAAAAAAAGAAATTAAGGTTTAATTTAAAAATGATTTTATACCAATTATTTAAATGAGCATAGATTGGAATCATATATTTATATATATATTAAGAACACATTTTAAATTGTTATATTTTAACAAAACCTATTGCCAATCATATGTCTATGAAACAAAGGTTACAGGCAATTTAAATTTAATAGGAATCTTTGAAGGGTTTTCAAATAATCTATGTTGCCTTCATAGGTAAGAACAGAAGGATAAAAACCAGTCTGACAGAGCCAGTTTAACATCTTTTAGTGACAATAGTAGCAGTGTATCATACAGGAGTAGCTCTGGCTAAAAACTCGGCCCTGAAAAACGCATGGAAGCACTTAGCAAATGACTACTTACCCTCCTGGTGAGCGGGGGGCTGCTTGGTGCCTCTGCCCATCTGTTTAGTGGTCCGGAGGCCCATGGCACTCTTGAGGTGGGTGTCTTAGTCTCTGAAATGTGTCATTGAAGAAACAAGTGGTTCAGAGAAGAGGGTGCCCGCTTCCTGTCTAAAGACAGTAAAAACCTCTAGATGAAAGCTTTCTGGGGAATTTGTGGGTGGGAGGGTAAACTTCCTCTTGGTCTGCCTTCTGATAGGAAGGGAAATTTTTTTTTAAAGGGTATTTTCTCTTGAGTCCATCCGGAGGTTGTTTTTTGTGGTTCTTTCTGTAATTTACATGAAGATGGAATAATTTATGAGGATGATCATCAGGAACCACATATCAAGTTGAGCTATCTGGTTAGTGACACAACCTCAAGTGTTGCTCTAAGACTTGTTTACTTTAAACCCCTATCACTTCGAAAAAAAAAAAAAAAAAAACAACTCATTGCTGTCTAGTCGATTCCGACTCATAGTGACCCTATACTACTCTTCATTATATCAAATAGAATAAGGGTGACAGAAACGCATTTTAAGCTTGATTGTTTTTAAAGGAAGATTGAACTATGTACAAAGCTATTCCCTTTCATTGCATTTTCTGGTACTTCTTTTCCTGTATATTGCAACTTTACCATCATTATTTGTCTTTTTCCCATGGGCTTTGTCAACTATAAAGTGTGACACAGATGAGAGGTGCCTTAGTTATCTAGTGCTGCTGTCACAGAAACACAAGTTGATGGCTTTAACAAATAGAAATTTATTCTCTCAGAATTCAGGAGGCTAGAAGTCTGAATTAAGGGTGCCAGCGCTAGTGGAAGGCTTTCCCTCTCTGTTGGCTCTGGGGGAAGGCCCTTGTCTCTTTTCAGCTTCTTTTTTTTGGTTCCTTGGATATCTCATGTGGTATGGCATTTAGCTTCCCCCTATCTGTGCTTGATTGCCTGGTTGCTTGCTCAATCTTTTATATCGCAAAAAGTGATTTAAGACACGCCCTACCCTAATACTGCCTCATTAACATAAAGAAATCCATTCCCAAATGGGATTATAACCACGTGTATAGGGGTGAGGATTTACAACACATTTTGGGGGGACACAATTCAATCCATAACATTCCACCCTTTGCTCCCCCCACATTCGTGTCCTTCCTACATGCAAAACACATTCACCCCAGCACCTCGTCCCAAAAGTCTTCAATCCACTCTGAGTCCAAAACCTCCTCTTCTGAATCATCGAAATCCAATATGGGTGAGACTTGAGGCGTGTTCCATCCTGGGGCAAAAGTCCTCTTCATCTGAGAACCTGTGAAATCTGGAATACAAGATATCTGCTTCCAAAATACAACTGTGGAACAGGAACAAGGTAGACATTTGCATTACAAATGGGAGAAATTGGAGGGAAAGAAGAGATTATGAGCACCAAGCAAGCCAAAATCCAGCAGAACGAATTACATTTGCTCTCAAGGCTTGAAAATAATCCTCTGTTCTTCGGGACCATCTGGGCAAGGGCCCCGCTCCCCAGACTCTGGCTGTTGGCCATGCTCTCTGGATTCTGAGTGTCAGCCCCTCAGCTCTGGGCAGAGGTCCCACCTTCCAGGCACCCTGGTATGGAAACCTTGCCCCCTCAACTTTGAGTGGCTTGTTCTCCTAGTCCGTTTGAATGGCGACCCCACCCCCTCAGTCCGGGTAGGCTCTGTTCTCCTGCCCCTTGCGCACAGCAGCCCCACCCCCTCAGCTTTGGGCAGTGGCTCCATCCTCTTGGCCCATCTACACAGCAGCCCCACACTCTGAAACTGACTTGGTGGAGATCTGACTCTTTAAAACCTAGAGGACCATGGCTCTACCCTTT